ATATGGTATGTGAACCTAGAGAGGTATTTTCTTAGATTGTTTGCCAGCTAACACTACCTACACCTATGTTGCCACAGACCTCACCATTTCCTGTCTCTGATGGCAATTCCTGGCCTTGGTCTCTACACAGGTGGATGCTTCAAGCAGAGCCCTGGGATTTTGATACAAACCTCTCACTTTGGGCTCCCTCAGGGCACAGAAATACAATGCGGAGTCTTCCAGGTGTGAAGCTGAGATGACAAGGTTGACAGAATTGTTTGTTTTCTGAGCATTCAAAGAGTAGCGACCTTCTGTGGCATCTTGCTGGTTATAGGTATCTCGACAAATAAGGAAAATCATTGCCCCACTGCTGAGCTGCTTGTACCAGTATAGACTATAACTGCTCTCAGCGGTGTCATATGTGCAGTCCAGGGTCACAGCCTCCTTCTCCTGCACTAACACTGCTGGTTGGCTTTGAGTAATCTTCTGGGCAACATTAGATCCTAAAAGAAAAAAGATACAATCACAAGGTTTGGGGATAAGCCGTGTGAAACAAAGAAATTATTTGTCACACCCCACTAGCCATTGCTAGTGTAGAATTGTTGGATATGTCATTGAATGCCAAGACCTGGAAAAGTAAAGTAATAACTATACCCCAATTGGTACTGCTAGAGTGAATCTTCATCAATAAGAATTTAAACACTTAAAATAATGAACTATGCCTTTAAAGTTTACTTAATAGTTTAAAAGACCAAGCTAGAAAAAACAGCGTGGTGGCAGAGATGAAATCATGTGTATGCCTGGTGGCATGTGCTTTCTCTCACCAAGGTTCAGACATCTCAAAAGGTTTTGTACTATATAGTTCCATTCATATGACACTCTTAGAAAGATAAAAATATAGAGGAATAGAAGAATGTTTGCAAGACTTAAGAATAAGAGAGTGTGTAATTACAAAAATACTGTAAAAGGAAATTCGGAAAGCAATGAAATTTTTTGAATCCTGATCATGTGTTGGTTATATGATCTATACAATGTATTCAAATTTCACAGACCGGTGCACCAAAAATATGCAATTTTTCTATGTGATGATTTAAAATTAAAAATTAGAAACACTGAGATCAAAATGACAAAATAGGAGTTATCTGCCATCTTCTCCTTGCCCCAAAAATACCAACATTCACAATCGTACACTAGAGAACTTTTGAGGAAGTCCAGGAGCCCAGTAGAGAAGTTACACTGTGGGAGAAGCACACTGTGTGAGAGCAAAAATATCTGAGACTGGAAGCATTGAAAAGCATAGAGGAACTTTTCACTCTACCCTAGTCATCTGACCCTGCAATGTGCACACCTCAGTGCCAAGATAATCCTCTAGTCCTTTGGTTTTTCCCATAGTGGAAAGTGAGAGCATGTGAGGAAGCACCTGATTCCCCTTTGGGGACACTGTCTAAGAGACTCATCTCTTTCTTGCTTCATCCAGAATAATGTGGTGTGCTGACCAACTGGGAATTGGGTGCACCTGAGAGAACAGCTGCCAGGGTTCTCAGTGGGCAATAAAGGGACAAGATTCCTACTAACCACAGACTCCATTAGGAACCTGCCCATAAGCTGCTGGAGATGCGGTGCCTGTGGATGCTCACAACTGCCCACAGGCACCCCCAAGGCTCAGAGCCTCAACCACACACCATCCACCCTGTGGCTGGCTACCACTGCACACAGGAGGGCAACAAGAGTGAGCTTTGACCACAAAGAGATCCCAACCTGACATCTGTTAGAATGGCTATTATCAATGAGACAAGATAATCACAAGCATTGGAGAGGTTGTAGAAAAAAAGAAACTCTCATACACTGCTGGTGGGAGTGTAAATTGGTACAGCCACTATGGAAAAACATGAAGGTTCCTCAAAAAATTAAAAATAGAGCACCCATATGACCCTGCAATCCCTCTCCTGGGTATCTACCACAAAAATCTGAAAATATTTATCTGTAAAGATATATGTACCACAATGTTCACTGCAGCATTATGCATGGTGGCCAAGACATGGGAAACAACCAAATTGTCCTTCAATATATGATTGGATAACAACGATGTGGTACATACAAGGTCAGACAATTAAGTTCGCAAACTCATCCTAGAAAAAGTGCTACATGCCTCATTGCTGAATATCACTACAGTCACCTTTTAAGTACTCCCCTTGGGAAGTTATGCACCAATGCCAGTGCCCAGTCTACCCTTCAAAGCAATTTTGGAACACTTTTTCTGGAATGGCCTTCAGAGCTGTGGTCGTATTACACTTGATATCCTGAATGTCATCAAAATGTTTTCCTTTCAATGTTTCCTTTATCTTTGGGCAATGAAATAAGTCATTGGGAGCAAGATCAGGTGAGTAGGGAGGGTGTTCTAATACGGTTATTTGTTCACTGGCTAAAAACCCCCCTACAAACAGTACCATGTGAGCTGGTTCACTGTTGTGATGCAAGAGCCATGAATTCTTGGTGAAAACTACAGGATGTCTAACTTTTTTATGCATTCTTTTTAGCACTTCCAAATAGTAAACTTGGTTAACTGTTTGTCCAGTTTGTATAAATTCATAATGAATAATCCCTCTGGTAACAAAAAACGGTTAGCAATATCATTGCAACAAGTTCGTGAAGTTAATTGTCACACCTTGTATAAACAATGGAGTATTATTCAGCCACAAGAAAAAATAAAATACGCTTTTTGTGAAAACACGGATTAAATTTGAGAATATTATGGTAAGTCCAACAGAAAATGTCAAGAATCATGATTTCACTCATATGCGATATATACAACTGAAAGCAACAAACAAACAAAAAAACAAGACAAATGAACACACAAAACTCATAGACACAGACAACAGTATGGTGGTTGAGGGAAAGAGTGTGCGGGAAGTGGAAGAGGCATAAGGGGTGAAATATATGATAATGGAAGGAGACTTGCCTTTGGGTAGTAAACACAAAATGCATATACAGATGATGCCTTATAAAATTGTACACTTGAAATCTATATAATTTTGTTAACTGATATTACCACAAGAAATTTAATAAATTTAAAAGAAAAACAGTGAGCCTTTGTACATGTGCTTCAGTGAGCATGTGCAGAAAGGTCCCCACTTTGCAGGACTGGAAGAAACCACACCAATTTGAGCAGCCTGCACCACCCTAGGGAGGCAAGCAAGAAGCAGGCTGTTAACACCCAGTCTGGCTTTGTGGGATCAAGTAAAGGCCATAAAGTGTATTGCAAATTGCCCTGAGACATAAGAAAACCAACCTTTATGTCTTAGGTGAAGATTTAAAGCTTGACTGTGTCTAAGTATGTACTGATTCTGCATGCTCTGACTAGCATTTATCATTCTTCCAATAAATAAATTCTCATCTGAGTATGCTAAAGCATTTAAGTCCATAGTAATTGCACCCTCTCTGTCTTGTAACTTGGTTTAAGAAGAATAAACAAATAAAATAGAAGTTATGCATCCTTCTCACACCATCAGACTTATAGGAAATGGACCAATCAAGAGTCACATTGCATTTACTGCACAGGAGCTCGTGGTTTAGTGAGGGAAATAATATAAGCCATTGAGGTGTTGGACCTTTCTTGTTCAGATGTTATAAACCTAATTTAATGACTTTCCTCATGAAAACAAACCATTTAGCTAATAACTAACAACCATAGCTCAGCCAACAGAAATCATCTCACCATATCAATCAATAATTATATCCATCCTCAGAGAGAGAATAAGCCATCTTGAAAATAACCTAACCTTGACCAGGGGTGGGAGGGATAAGGAATGAAGTATTTATGCAACATCTTTCATTCCATTGATTTTCTATAACACCAAAAGTAGTAACTTTACAAAAAGTTTAATTCAGTGAAAGCATGAAGATGAGGCAGAGGGATTGGCAACAAGCTATCTCTAACCATTATTCTAATGTCTTTGTGCAATCCAGAAATAATAGTCAGGTGGCAGATAAATACATATAAAAATTTAACCACACACCCCAGCAAGAAGGATTTCATTCATGATAACAAAAATCACAAGTCAATGAATAAATTTAATTACCTTAGAACAACAGAGCTTTATTGAAAAAGAAAGATAGATACAAATGGAAAAAAATAGTATATTAAACAATCAAATAATTTACTATACATGGTAACAGTTTTGTTTTTCATAAATCAATTTATAAATGTAGTTATATCACAAAGTTTAATTTAAAATTATGAATAATTAGTAGAAGTCACCTTTCCTTCTTCCTTTAACAAAGATCTATTGATTATCAACTACGTAAAAAAGTTTTTGGTTACTGCAGCTATGGCAGTGAAAAATACAAAACTCTGGTCTAAAATTATGAGAGAGTGTGAACAGACACATATAGAATTTGGTAAAAAGGAATAGATTAGTGAGTTTAAATGAAAATCACATTCTCAAATCACTACTTATCCTGCTTCTTCAAACACACAAATAATACATACCATAACTGGGTTCTAAAAAAAACAAAGGTCATATTTTCTTAAAAGAAAGTAGTCAGAGTACAAAGAAAGAACTGTCAAATGTGCCACAAATATACAAGAAAAGAATTAATATAAAACTGAAATTTATTAAAATCTCACAGAACTATTAAACAGTTATTGGGAGAGAAGAATGATGAAATGGAGAATGCTCTATTCAAGATATAACATTGAGTGAAAATAATTACGATACTAATTACAATAAAAATTGATGGAACAAGTAATATAAATATTAGCAATATTATGTGATTACAGACTTATCAATTTCATACTTTTATATTATACATGATTTCTATATATGGCATATAATGGTTTATATCAGAAAAATAATAAATACTGTTTTCAAAACACAATGATTAAGAGCCTATAACTAATAAAGATTGTGATATCGATGTTAAGGTTTTATTTATCGGACCAGAATTTGAATAACAAATGTAAAGTCATCTTTAAAACTTAAAAATCAAAATAAAATATAACTAAATTCCATAAAAAAATCCACTAAGCAACAGTCATCCAAGAAAATGTTCTAACCCTTCCTGGATCATCTTGAGCCTAACGTACTTACTATGTGTTTTTAACAACCAACACATTAGTTTCCACTTGTAGACAAAATATGACAAACACTATCTATGCTTTAAGGTCTGTCCCAAAAGAGAGCAGTGGCTCCACTCGCAGGTTTGCGTACAGGTTGCAGGTGCCTGGGAAGCAATGTGCACTCGCTGCACAGAAGTACACAGCTGCGTCTCCAGGCTGGGTGGCCTCGATGTGCAGGGAGAGCTGTTTGTCCGTCTTATTCAATAAAACAGTGAATCTTCCATCTTTGGTTTTGTCCTTAACTGAACGAATGGATATAATGAGCTGGGGACCTTTGCCACCTTCTTGCTTATACCAAGGGAAGTAGTTTGAGGCACTGTCAGAATAAGAACAGTTCATAACAGAGCTGCTTCCCTCCTGGACACTCAGGGAAGGAGGACGCTGATTCACATTCTCTCCTCTGCTGACGCCTGTGCAGAAAGAAAAAGTCAGAGGAAGGAGAAGAGTTACCACATCATTATGCTTCAGAATTGTCTTTTTCTACAGCAACTAGAGGAAACTCAGATTAAGCCACTGTTGCCTTCTAAACAATACCCACTAATATAAACTGTTTCCAAAAAGCCTCAACTCACATTCCAGCTGCAGCCACAAGAACATGAATAAAGCTCCACTGGATTTCTTCAGCATTCTTCCCATTTAGGATCAACTGTGGACCTGCAATCTACAGCCAGGGGAGCTACTTCTAGTGTCAAGTTATCTCTTCTTTTCTCTAACAAACATAAGGGTTCCTCACATTGTCTACACAGCCAATGAGAAAAAGGCCCTGCTTCTGTCTTAGCCATTCATTCAGAATCCACTGAAATGAGCCCTCACATATTCTGTATCAGCAGAGGTGCACTACCACCTTGTGGTCACATCCGTAACGACTGATCGCACTGGGTAAATGTTCTCTTACCCTGTGCTTCTCAGGGACTCAGACACGTAAAGGCAACAATAGGCCAAACAAAATAAGTCTTAAATCAGAGGTTAAGTAAGAATGTAGAGATCAAGGTTTATATCGGTGCACACTAATGAGTCATTATTAACATGTAGGAGAGAGGCAGATGCTGATAGTTATTCAACAATGGCCTGGGTTTAAGTACATGAAAACAGGAAAATGCCAAAATTCACTCTCTTAAAGAAATTACAAAACCTTCCTTTTCAGCTAAATCTATCATCCCCAGGTTTCTGTTATGGAGGAAAACTCTTTCTAAAAGCAACATGTAAGTCAAAGTTTACAATAAGAGAGATCATTTGATATTTCCAGTGCCTGTTATCTCAGACTCTGCCCCTCTAAGCTGGCCTTGCCTGTGACCTTGCTTCTCCCAGAGAACTGACAGCACCAACTGTGAAAATGGGGAATCTCCCTCAATTAAGACAACTGTGATATAACGTAAAAGAGCAAATTTTAATGTTAAAGGAGCAGAGGGGTATCTTCCACAAGTTATGAACACTTCAGCCATAGGAAACCATTTAACTCATTGATTGGATCAGACAAGCTTGAAGACACCTATTCCAATGCTTGGTGCCTCACATCCTTCTAAGTACTGAAAGAGTACAGCTTCTGAGAAAATTTCAGGCTTAGAGTATTCAGAATGAAGTTTCCTGCACAAAATGCTTTCTCATCCACTTTTAATTTTGGAATTTTCTGATTACCTGAGAATAAATCTACAAAAGCCTGAATATTGCCTGTGTCAGCTAGGGTCATCTTACAAATTGAAATAGACTCTAAAAAGCTGATCACGAGAAATGGTCCCTGGGAAACTGAGGCTACCTTATTTCCGGAAGTGGGAGCTCCTTTCCTGTGATTTGAAGTAAGTTGTCCTCTGGAATTACAAGCAATAATTGTAATTTCTCTTCCACATCTCACTTCCATGACAATTTAAAGACACCAATTGTGAAGACTATCAACTCACTATATAAATATTTATGTATATGTATAACATGTACTTTTATGTGCATAAAACTTCCTGATTTCATGACCTTCCATTCTCTCACCCTTTCCCCATAAGATAAAATTTCTCAAACTCTACTCTGGGCAGGTTTCCCTCTTTTAGGAGACAGATACTGAGGTCAGTGTCTGTTCTTTTGAGGTATGCACACAGAACTGAATGTCATGGGGAATGTGATTATTAATATGAAAACCAATGTTTCAAAACATTAACTATAACACAGATGTAGCCATCCATTGGACAAAATTCAGAGCTATGTGATCATTTCATAGAATATTGCTTTACTTATTGTCAAATTTTGGGCCTAGAAAACCTTTATGTGGCATCTCCATGAACTGCCAGTGGCATGAGTCTTCCAATTCCAATTATTGTTTTTGCTGACAATGTGTGAGTTTTGCTCAATATACTCATATCCTGCCTTCAAGAAATGTCCACCTGGTATAAAGGATATATTTGGTATTTCCAGGCAAGTCTTTAGAAATACATCTGGGTGTTGTGGATGGCCCATCACCTTTGGCTTACTCCCACAGAAGCCAGTGAGTGATGGACTGGTTTCCTGGTAGAATAAGTGGCTCAGCTGATGAGTCTCCTTTCCTGCCCAAAATATCAAATATTTACACCAATTGGAATTCTCATTCAGGTGTTCAAAATGATTGACCACGACTTTCCTGGACCCATGCTGCAGATATGTAAGTAGCTGGACTTGCAATAGATAGTTCCTCTTTGCTCAGCAGTATGGCCCTGCAAGAAGGGTGCAGGGGAAAGAATGCTAAATAGGAAGTAAGGAAGTCCAGTATCTTTCTATTCCAAGCTCATATATTTCCTAATTGTCTCACTGGCATTTTATTTTAGTTTGTTTTTTTAAATTAAGGTTGGACTAAAGATTTTCTTGGAGCTCTAAAATTATGAGTTGTGTGAAAGTGGGGAGAAATTGTCCTGCATCATGGAACCCCAAGACCATTTTCACATTCACATGCTATCTGGTGAGGTTGAGGTGCCCCTAAGCAATCTTGGGGCCTCTTCACTGACACAGACAGGATCCTCAGGATGAGTTCTTATCTTAGTGTTCATTTCTCCTGTAAGATCGCTGATGGATCAAGCAGAACCTAAGTCCATAGAAAAATGGAATAAAATGGGATTTTACCCCTGAGTATAAAGGTCATCATCACAGGCAGTGTGATCAGGGTAGCTCCATGGCTGAGTCATGGGTAAGCACACATATTTCCGCAGACATATTTCTGATGTGTGTATCTATAACTTATCATTCAGATCTTGTAGGAAAAGAGAAAGATAACTCTTCATAACTTGGAAATCCTAGGGTTGGTGGGTGAGCTTACTCATCTGCAAAGCAAGAAACACTTTCTAAAACTACCTAATTGTCTTCTGACTCTGGCCTTTCTCCTTGCAATGTTAGTTTGGGGTTCACAATTCCCAGCCAGGCTAGCTAAATAAATTTTTGAGATCAAAATGCAAAGTGAAATTTTGGGTTCTCTCATTCAAATAAACAGGTAAAATTAGGTAACGTTACTTGTGGAACCACTTTTCTAAAATGCTTTAACTCTTCATGTAAATCAGTTTCTTGGAAACCTGAGTATAATTTATTTAAGGACTTTATGTTTTTTCGGTTATTTTAGTGTCACAGAAAAATGAAGAAGAAAGTACAGGCAGTTCCAGAATTCCTCCTGCCCCCACACATGAACTTCACCACAATAGTGGCATATTTCTTACATTTGATAAAAGTACATTGGCACATTATAATCACCCAAAGTCCATCATTTACATTAGGGTTTATTCATGGTGTTGTACATTCTGTGGATTTACACTTACGTATAATGGCATACAGCTATCATTATAGTATTATGAAGACAAGATTCACAAACCCAAAAACCCTCTGTGCTCTGCATCACTCCCTCTCCTCTCAACCCTGGCTACCACTGTTCTTTTCACTGTCTCCATTGTTTTCCTTTTCTAGAGTGTCATATAGTTGGAATCATGCAATGTACAGCCTTATCAGGATGGTCTCTTTCACTTAATAATATGCATTTGTTTTCTCCATGTCTTTCCATGGCTTGATAGGTCATTTCTTTCTAGCGTGGAATAATAGGCCATTGTCTGTATGTGTCACCATTTATTTATCCATTCACCTACTGAATTACTTCTTGGTTGCCTCCAAGTTTCAACAATGATGAATAAACTTGCTATAAACATCTGTGAACAGAAATTTTTGTGAACACAACTTTTCAACTCCATTGGGAAATACCCAGGAATTCCATTGCTGGATAGTATGGTGAGACTATGTTTATTTGTCTAAGAAACAGCCAAACTGCTTTATTGGAATGTCCATCTATGCACTTTCATTTTGTATTAATTTATTACAAAGTTTGCTGCCCCTCTTTGCTTCATGTCAGAAACCCAGAGAGTGAAAGCATGCACAGGCACAACACGTGACCTGACAACTGCTTAACTCTCACACTCCCTCCTGTGACCGTGAGCCTGAGCCTGCATGTGTGCCTGTCCCATGTCCTCCTGCCCCACGTACCTCCTCTGCTCACACACGTGTTCCATCCACGTATGGGACTTTCCTTAAGAAACACAAGAAAAAGATAAAATTATTAAGAATTTCAAGACAGCGATCACAGAGCATTGAACCAAGAGCAGGGTTTCTTCTGCAACTGCACAGGTCACATGCCCAGGAAGCTGGCCCTGCTCCCAGCTGCACTGGATTCTGCCCATTTGTTCTTATCTTAATTTTCAAGGTCACAGTCCTTCCTCTCAATGCCTTTACATTAACATAAAAGACAGTGCGGGTTGGAATTTGATTTGCGTTGTAGTTATTCCACACACAAGTTTAAACTTTGGGTTTGGTTGCCAGAATTCTTAGTGTCTGGGTAAAACAGATAAAGGACTTTAGGTTAGTACAGAACCTATCTGCTCTCTTTTTCAAACTGTGATTGATGTTACAAAATCATAAGTAATAGATTCACTCTAAATGCAAGGAAGAGCAATGGATTAGAAGGAAAATGTTCATGANTAAAGCTTTATCTATAAAGAAAAACACATAAATGGAAATAAATAGTATGTTCTTAAACAATTAATAATCAAATATACACATTAAGGAGATTTGTTGTTGATAAATCAATTTACAAATTTAATTGTATCACCAAGCTTAAATTAAAATTATGAATAAAGGATAGAACCCCCCTTTCTTTCTTTAATAAACAACTGATTTCAACTATGTGAAAAAGTTTGCTTGTGGATACTGCAGCTATGGCAGTGAATAATACACAACTCTGTTTTAAATTCTATGAGAGAGTAAATGTAAAGAGATATGCATAGAATTTGGTAAAAAGAAATAGATTTGTGAGTCTAATTGGAAGCTCACACTCCCAACTCACTTTATATCCTAATTTCCTCAAACACAAAAACAATATATACCATCACTGGTTTAGAAAGAAAAACCCAAGTCACATTTTCTTAACATGAAAGTGGTCAGAGCACATAGAAAGGACTGTTACATTTTGTCACAATAGAGAAAAAGAAATTTAATATAAAACTACTTTATCAAAACTTCTCACAGAGCTATTAAAAAGCAGATGTTTGAAGAGACGACTGAGTGAAACAGAGCATGCTCAAGTGAAGATGTAGTATCCATTAAGAATAACAATCTCGGGCTGGCCGAGTGGCTCAGTTGGTTAAGAGCTTGCTCAAGAGTTTGAGCTCTGAGCAACGGCGGTTCGATGCCTGGCCTGAGCTGAGCAGCTGCTAAGCTGCCAACCGGTGGCAGGATG